TAATACACTTCTTAACATAAGAGCTAATTCTCCAACAACTCACCCTTATGTAACAGATAATACTCCCTACAACTGTACAACTCTTCTTTATGTAACATATAATACTCCCTACAACTATACAACTCACCCTTATGTAACAGATAATACTCCCTACAACTGTACAACTCATCTTTATGTAACATATAATACTCCCTACAACTATACAACTCATCTTTATGTAACAGATAATACTCCCTACAACTGTACAACTCATCTTTATGTAACATATAATACTCCCTACAACTATACAACTCATGTTTATGTAACAGATAATACTCCCTACAACTGTACAACTCACCCTTTATGTAACAGATAATACTCCCTACAACTGCAAAAAACAAAAGCTGATATTTAATATTTTATTACAAATTTTTCTATTTTATTTTGACTTGCACATTTACATTTTCATATAAAATGAATTTGAAAATGTAATAATTCCAGCGTTTCTAAGTGAAACTTTTAGGCTGCTCAAGAATTAAATAAATATTAGACTTCATTACATACACAGCAGTGTCATTAACACAACGGTTTTATCTTTTTCTCTTGTCTCGTCTTAAACTCTTGGTGTTTGTGTTTCAGGAGCTCGGGATCAAACATCCTCTGCACAGGAAGAAGCTGCAGCTCGCTCTCCAGGCTCTGGGCTCTGAGGAGGAGGACAACAAAGGCAAACTGGACTACAACTGGGTCACACGTGAGTAAAGACACAGTGTAAGGATTGTTCTTCGAGAAAACCTCAAACTGTCAGGTGGATTCTCTGATATTTGTGAGTCACAAATTCATCAGAATCCACCTTGGCGTCGCTGCTGTGATGGGGCCCGACAGGTCCTGGGTGTGACCAGTGTCATGTAGAAAAGAGGAGCATAACCGAGCGTCTCGTGTTTGTCTCAGGGTGGTTGGACGACATCGGTCTGCCTCAGTACAAGACTCAGTTTGACGAGGCTCGAGTGGACGGACGGATGCTGCACTACATGACTGTGGTGAGAATTCTGAGCTTTGTGACATTAAACACAGATAACCTGCATTTTATTTAGCACAAATGATCATCGTATGACTTTATCTTGAATTTAAGGAGACAAAATATACCATGCACTGATACTGGATATTGGCGCAGAGATTGAAAATGTTGGTGAATCGGATTTCTGCTTCGAAGATATCGGTTCAGCTGATATCGTATTTTGGTCGATACACTGGTGTAATGAGACGATTCACTGGACAAAATTGGCCCAAATAATATAAAACTTGTATTTATCCACAGCTGTTTTAAAAACTTTAAATCATAATCAAGAGTTACACAACATATTTGGATGATTTTCTACCGTACTCTTTTTGTGTTTAAAGAAGATAATGATATTTCTAGTTATCAGTGACATCAGGAATCGGCCTAAACTTAAAGGTTGTATGGAGGATTTTTTTTTTAGTTTCAAACTGTCAGTGAAAGATTAAAATACCGTTACAGAGACGCGGCAGCTTTGTAATTATGATGACCAAAAAAAAAAAGAACGAAAATCTATCAACTGTGGACGTAGTGAGGCCAGATAAACATCAGCCAATAGAAAACGAGGCTCCCTCATTTTCTATTGGCTGTTAGGTTGTCAATCAAACTCCCTAGTATAACTGACTCGTCGGAGCGCGGGGATTATGTGGTTTACGCAGTGGTTCTTAGAGGCATTTTCGAACTGTCGCTTCCTCGCATTTCGCACAAAGTTTGTCGCGACGGCGGACGAGAATCCACGACCGGTTCGCCGCAAAAGAAAGTCAGTTTTTGAGGTCGCTGAAAGAAGAAGAGAAGTGGAAAAGTAGCAAAGCCAAACTGAGCACACGACCGAAGCAGACGAAGGGTCTAAAAACTGATGCGTCGGTCGCTGAATTACTTCTAAGACAGGTCACTTCAACAGTAATTCTGAATGCGCACAAGGACTGTCACTGTATTTCTCTTCCCTTAAAAAAATCCTCTATACAACCTTTAAAGCCAAAGTCTCGACATCGTTATCGGGACAGAAAAGTCTGTGTTGGTGATTCTTCTGCAGCCTCTGACTCTTTTGTTCCGTGTGACCCTCAGGACGACCTGCTGTCACTCAAAGTCGGGAGCGTTCTTCATCACCTCAGCATCAAACGAGCCATCCAGGTTCTCCGCCTCAACAACTACGAGCCAAACTGTTTACGGCGCCGACCGTCGGATGAGGTCTGAACTCTAAGAAAATCATGGAAAAACTTTAAAATATTGGTGCTTTTTTTAAATGACTGAAAACGCGATTTATGTTCACAGAATAACGCGACTCCAGCAGAGATTTCCCAGTGGACGAACCACAGAGTGATGGAGTGGCTGCGCTCGGTCGACCTGGCAGAATACGCCCCGAACCTGAGAGGCAGCGGCGTGCACGGGGGGCTCATGGTCAGTGTGGACGGTTTTAATCTTATTTAGTGTTTAATGAGAAGATGAACTCAAATACACTTCCGGTTTCATGAAATCTGAGTATTTCTTTCTTTATTTATTTAATAGGGACAGTGAATATTAATGAACATCTAAAACACTGCAGTGTAAATATGACAGATTATAGCAAAAATGCTCATTTCCACCTGTCGTCCCTCTGGCAGGTGACACCACAAATTTAACAGAAAAAAAATGACTGAAGAGAACTTTTCTGAAGCTTCTTGTTCAGTTTTTGCCTGTGTAAAGATCACAACATCATCAGGACACAGCTGGACATTGACATTTGGACACATTTCAGGAAGGTCATTGATATATAAACTGAATAAAATAGGTCCTAAAATACTACCTTGGGGGACCCCTGTTGGACAGTGAAGGTAGAGCGATTTAAAGCCAAAGGGTAACGCATTGTTGTCTGTGGGACAAATAAGATTCAAACCAGCACAGCGCCTCTTTAGACAAACTAAAATGGGATAATTTAGATAAAAGAATCTGGTGATTTACCATGTCAAAAGCCTTCTTAAGGTTTAGGAATACTGCGCCCACATATGCGCGTTTGTCAAGAAAACTTCTGACATTTTCAACAACAACAAAAAACAGACTCTGTGGAATGGTGACTACGAAAACCAAACTGCCTTAGGTGTAGAGGTGTAGCTCTTGTGGTTAGATGTTCATTTAATTGTTCGGCCTCCCATCTCAGCAATGTTGGAGAAAGGCCAGGAAATATATTATATAATGGAAAGTGAACATGACAAAAATTTTCAGATTTTTTCCCCCAGGATTTATCAAAATGAAATGATTTATTTTTCACAATAAACATTTTTTTTATTAATAATTTGACTCGAATCGTCTCCAAATAATCACGACGTCTTTGTTCCAGGTGTTGGAGCCTCGGTTCAACGTGGAGACGATGGCTCTGCTCCTGAACATCCCCCCGAATAAAACTCTGCTGCGCCGTCACCTCGCCACACACTTCACTCTGCTCATCGGCTCTGAGGCCCAGCAGCTCAAACAGGAGTGTCTGGAAAACCCGGACTACACCTTACTCACGGCCACCACCAAAGTCAAGGTAATACTCCCTACACTTTACTCACGGCCACCACCAAAGTCAAGGTAATACTCCCTACACTTTACTCACGGCCACCACCAAAGTCAAGGTAATACTCCCTACACTTTACTCACGGCTACCACCAAAGTCAAGGTAATACTCCCTACACCTTACTCACGGCCACCACCAAAGTCAAGGTAATACTCCCTACACTTTACTCACGGCTACCACCAAAGTCAAGGTAATACTCCCTACACTTTACTCACGGCCACCACCAAAGTCAAGGTAATACTCCCTACACTTTACTCACGGCCACCACCAAAGTCAAGGTAATACTCCCTACACTTTACTCACGGCCACCACCAAAGTCAAGGTAATACTCCCTACACTTTACTCACGGCTACCACCAAAGTCAAGGTAATACTCCCTACACTTTACTCACGGCCACCACCAAAGTCAAGGTAATACTCCCTACACTTTACTCACGGCCACCACCAAAGTCAAGGTAATACTCCCTACACTTTACTCACGGCCACCACCAAAGTCAAGGTACACCTCTATAATACTCCCTACACTTTACTCACGGCCACCACCAAAGTCAAGGTACGGCTGTATAATACTCCCTACACTTTACTCACACCCACTGCCAAAGTCAAGGTACACTTGTATAATACTCCCTACACTTTACTCACGCCCACTGCCAAAGTCAGGGTACAGCTGTGTAATACTCCCTACAGTCTGTATAATACTCCCTACACCACCAAAGTCAAGTCTAGGTAAGTCTGTGTAATACTCCCTACACTTTATTCGCGGCCACCACCAAAGTCAGAGTAAGTCTGTGTAATACTCCCTACACTTTACTCACAGCCACCACTAAAGTCAAGGTACGTCTGTATAATACTCCCTACACTTTGCTCATGGTACTGCATCCTGTCTGTATAATACTCCCTACTATACTAGGACTTAACAGACACTTCTTATCTGGTTGTTTTTATTTTTTAACTTGTTTGGACAGTCAGATTCTTGGTCGAATTTAATATTTTATGAATTTTAAATTGAGTTTTTTTTTGTTGTTTTTTTTTTATGGATCCTTTGTGAAAAATGAACGAGGTAAAGTTAAATCAGAACGACTCTACAAAATGGACGGAGCTTTTGTGAAACGCTGGGTCAGGGTTCGTCTTGCAGAAAACTAGGACACGATAAAATCCAGTCTAACACTTGTACACGTTTCTGTTCCAGCCGAGGAAGCTTTCGTTCGGGACCTTCGGCAGCCTGAGGAAGAGGAGGCACGAGGAGAGCGAAGAGTACGTTTGTCCGATGGACGTGGAGATGCCGAAGGGGCGGAGCTTCCAGAAAGGATTTGAACTGCAGATCTACGAAGACGATCTGGACCGACTAGAACAGGTGAAACATCAGAGACACAAGAGTCCAAATGATTAAATCAAATGAGAAGGAAAGTCAGAAATAAAAAACATTTTTAAATGGTCGAATATACGGTCTTTGAGTTTATTACTTTGTTCTCAGTTCAAATCAGAGACGGCATCAAAAGTCATTTTTCACTTTTCCACAGATTTTAGCTTTTAGTGGTTTTGGTTTATAAGTTGTAAATTTGAGTTTATTTATGTAGATTAGTAATAGTCATAATAATCATGATAATTTTAATATAAAAACGTTAATGATCAATCGAAAATCAATCTTTAATTCTCCGATCGATTAAGAAAATTGAATCGAATGCTCATCCCTAATCCTAATATGTGTTTGTTTTTGACAGATGGACGACTCAGAAGGTACTGTGAGACAGATCGGAGCGTTCTCTGAAGGAATCCAGAACCTCACTGTAAGAAAAACACTTATATATAAAAGTATTAACGTATTTTTTGGACTATAAGTCGCTCTGGAGTAAAGTCCACCAGCAAAAAAACTGCTCCAAGAAAAAACATAATTGCAGAGTGGACTGAACTGAAATAAAAATGCGGAGGAAACTATTTCGAGCGCTTGTATCCATCTCGTCCTTTCGGTCACTACCAGAGTCATGACCATAGGTGAGGTAGAACAAGACTGACCGGTAATCGAGAGCTTCGCCTTTCGACTAGCTTCTTCACCAAACGAATACAGCGACCGATCACTGCCGATGCACCGATCCGCCTGTCATTCACGTTACTCGTGAACAAGACCCCGAGATCTTGAACTCCTCCACTTTGAGGCAAAGACTCTCCACCCACCCGGAGAGGGCAAGCCACCTTTTGGTCGAGAACCATGGCCTCACTTGGAAGAGCTGATCAAGCCGCTTCACATCGGCTGCAACCGAGTGCAATTGCAGGTCCTTCGATGAAGCAACAGGACAACATCGTCCGCAAACAGCAAGATGAAATCCTGTGGTCAACCGACCCCCTAGTGACTAGAAATCTGTCCATAAACAGAACAGAACCGGTGACAAAGGGCAGCCCTGGCGGAGTCAACAGCAAACAGTCTGACTTACTGCCGGCAATGAACACAGCTCCTGCTCCGTCATACAGGGACTTAGCAAAGGGCACCCCATACTCCCAGAGCATAAATCCACAAACAGACAAACATGAACATTTAACAAACTCTCCATCTCTGGAAAAAAAAACATCTCACTTTTGGGGGAAATGTATTTTATAAAATTGGAGACAGGAGCCGACATTTCCTGTGTCAAGTTGTAATAAAAACAATAGAGAGAGAACAACAGACTGTTAACGTCACATATTTCACAGTTCTTCAGATAAACTATAACATAAACAACAGAACAGAACAAGTTTAACAAACTCTCCATCTCACTCCAAATCACTAAATCCATTCAATTCTTCATCCTCGGTGTCACTTCTGAACAACTCGACCTCGACCTCCGGAGGTAAACAGAGCGACGCAAACTCTTCTGTGTCGCTGTCGTCAGACTCAGCATCAGTTCCATTTAGAATTATTCGGGTCTTTCTGAATCCCGACAGGATGGTTTCAGTGTAAGTCTTAAGTAAATAAGTCTCTCTTTATATGGCACTTTTCACAGACAGTTTTGTCACAAAGACGCTTTACAGAACATTACTCAGCATTATTCTTTCACTCTATACCTGATGGTAAACTACTGTTGTAGCCACATCTGCCCTGGGGCAGACTGACAGAAGCGCGGCTGCCATGTCCAATCGGCGCCATCGGTCCCTCCGACCACCACCATCACTCACACACACACACCACTTTCATACGAGGCAATGTGGGTGAAGTGTCTTGCCTAAGGACACAACAGCAGTTTTTGCCACTGGCGCCTCGATTTTCCCAGTGTCTCACATCCCAGTACCACCCAGACCCCTGAGATCTGACGGGATCAGGCTTTGACAAACTGGTCTGGTGTCACTGAAGTCCAGGCTTTGTCCATCCAGTGACTTCAGGAACGTTTCTGGTTCCCGTGAAGCTGTGTTCTCCATCCCCACTTTCCTTCAGTCCCTCACAAGTTTCTCGCTCACTCCAAACTTATTTTCGGCTGCTCGATTACCGTTTTCGGCTGCAGATTTCACTATTTGCAGCAGGACAACGGCTTTTTCTACAGGAGACATGAGCAGTAGAGCGACGTGACAGTGTTACAGGCGAAATAGATACTGACACACAAGACTAGCGCGCCCTCTTGTGGCTGTCAGGAGGAATATTTTAATATATAAGTCACAGGAAACACCCAAACCATGAAAAAAAGTGCGACTTATAGTCCAAAAAATACGGTAATTAACTTTGTGTAACTTTGTGGTGTTAAGTTTTATTTTTTTGTGTGTGTGTTTTCCAGAGCATGTTAAAAGACGACGAATTCTTCAAAGAGATTTCAAACTCTCCGAACCCGAGCGTGACGGACGAAGAGTCGAACGCGTGAGACCCGCAAACCCGTCGCCGCGGCAACCACACGAAAATATTCCGCATCTTAGTATTACAGTCGAATGAGCCAAAGCGTTTGTTTGTTTGTTTGTTTTATATCTGTTTTTATCTTTGTTTTAAGAGGGACACATTATGGGGCGACACCACTGCAGAGTACCAGCTGGGTTCTGGAGTTTATTTTAACATTTTTTTAATGTTAAGTTTGGAATTAAATCGAACCAGCAACACACAAATAATCCTACGCTCCCACAGAGTTAATATATGTGTAAAATATAAAAAATGACATCATCAGATCAATGTACTTCCCTTTTATATCTTTATACAAACAGACAGATTAAGGTCTTACATTTCATTTGCTCTGAAGTCAATGACATTTCTAAAACAGCACATTATTATTATTATTATTTTGTTTTATTTTCAGAACTTTATTTAATAACAATTTCCAAATATCAGAATCGTCAGCAGGAAATACTTAAATAAAGACAAAGAGCAGAGAAAAACACACACAAGAAGAAAGAAGAAAGATCCACACGCAGTTTTTTTTTCTCCTAGAACCAAACTCTTGCGGTTTTATTGATTTCTCTTTATTATTTGGGCTGATGGGGACGGTTTCACTTGGTAGAAACTGTCTGAATCTGTGTGTCATTCGTTCATTCGTGTTTCAATATAAAACCAAAAATAAGAAAATGAAAAAACAACAGTTTTCTTCATTATTTGTCTCCAAAACCAAAATGAAAAACCGGATCACGATTCGTTTTTTCAGTTTTCGATTTTGTGTTTAAAAGAAAAATGGAAAAAAACGGATAACAGCCGCCAGACTTTTGCGCTGCATACGGACTGAACCAGGACTGATCCAGGTCCGGGACCAGACGGGACCAGAGCGGACTCCGAGCTTTGACTCCGAGCTTTGACTCCGAGCTTTGACTCCGAGCCCTGCCGTGGGCTTTAAGCCTCCGGTCTGGTCTCAGGTCTCGGTCCGGTCTCGGTCCGGTCTCGGTCTCTCGGTCTCGGTCCGGTCTCGGTCTGATCTCGGTCTGATCTCGGTCTGATCTCGGTCTGATCTCGGTCTGATCTCAGTCCCGCTCCGGTCCCGGTCTGGTCTTGGTCTGGTCTCAGTCTTGGTCTCGTCTCGGTCTCGTCTCGGTCTCATCTTGGTCTCATCTTGGTCTCAATCCACTCTGGTCCTGCTCTGGTCCCGGACCTGGATCAGTCCTGGTTCAGTCCGTATGCAGTGCAAAAGTCCGGCATCACAGTCACAGGAGTCACGTGAACGGGAAACGGTCCGTTATCCGTTTTTTGCCATTTTTCATTTAAACACAAAATCGAAAAACTGAAAAAACTACTCTTTATCCATTAACCTGATGAGTGCAAAAACAAAGAATTATATTTGTACTTGATGATGCAGTTTCTGAGAAAAACGATGTCCACAAATGATTTATAAAACATGAATTTGATAAAGTCACACGATAAAGTCACAGTTCAATGATTTGCAAAAACTATGAAGTGCCTAAACGTCCCAACAACCCCGTCACTGAAATAAAAAAAATAAAAAAAGAACTGCAGAGTGAATCTTTCTTCTTTTGCACAGTTTTTGTTTTTGGATCCAGCACAAAGTCGCAATTTTTGTTGGACGTGCATGTTTCTATCCACCAATAAAAATAAAAAAACACACACAAAAAAGTCAAAACTTCTCCCAGTTCACAATAATAAACATGTTCCAGACTCGAAAAAGAGAGGATTTTTTTTTTTTTTAAACAACAGCACATTTTTGCACCGGTCTCTGAAACTCAGTACAGATTTATTTATACGAGTGTGTAGTGACCACAGACTGTATAAAAATAAAAAATATAGTTACAGTCTGTGGTTATAACAACGCACCAAAAAGGGCTTCACTCTCTTTATCACTTTATTAAACATATTTAAGTCTTTCTGGAGGTGGAATTCTGTAAAACTGTAACAGACTGTAATGTGTATATCAAAAATAAAAGTTTTCTATGTTTAATTAATGTCATTGTTTGATTTTTTTTTTAAAATTGAAACTAACTTAATTTAATTTTTATTTGAGGTTAGATTGAAATTAGGTGATGCAACTGTACAAAATAAAATGTCTAAATCTATAAAATCTGACTTAAAGAGGCGCTGTGGAACTTTTCTTCTCCACATTTCCATGGAGTTATAAATGTCTGACCTGGAATATTCCTCAGTGTGGCATTAATGTTAGAGATTTTGACCCAAATGACCTTCGAAACCTACATTTTACCAAAAAAGTGAACGCACCTTTTGTCTTGTGAATTTTTTTTTTTCTGCTTTTTAATTATTATTTTTTTTTTACATATTTTTATTTTGATACAGTGATAAACGATAAATTTTGTGGCTTCGTTAACATTGTTATTACTTTGTACGACCATAAACACAAACAAAAAATCTGTACATTTTTCTCATTCTCAGATAAAATAAGTGCAGTGGAGTCAAACAGACACTAGAGGGCGACCTTTCATATGAAACTGTATTATAACTATTATAGTTGCAGCTTCTTTTGGTCATAGAAAACAATGTATCTGACCCCAAACCTAATAAAGCCACTGATTTTATTCATCATGAAGCTCCACAGCTGGTTTTAGAAACTAGACCAGGATTAAAACAGGACTAAACCAGGACAAAACCAGGATTAAACGAGGACTAGACCAGGACTAAACCAGGACAAGACTAAGATTAAACCAGGACTAGACCAGGACTAGACTAAGACTAAACCAGGACTAAACCAGAACTAGACCAGGACTAAACCAGGACTACAAAAGGACTAGACCAGGACTGAACCAGGATTTAACCAGGACTAGATCAGGATTAAAACAGGACTAAACCAGGTCTACAACAGGACTGCACCAGGACTAGACCCGGACAAAAACCAGTCTGTCCAGTCGATACCAGCTCTAATCTGGGTTCAGAGCGGGTCCTGATCCAGGTGTCAGGTCTGCGGTTCAGTCTGTGGTTCTGTTGGTTCTGTTGGTCTGTTGGTTCTGTTGGTTCTGTTGGTCAGTGGTTCTGTTGGTTCTGTTGGTTCTGTTGGTTCTGTTGGTCAGTGGTTCTGTTGGTTCTGTTGGTCATTGGTTCTGTTGGTTCTGTTGGGTTCTGTTGGTCAGTGGTTCTGTTGGTTCTGTTGGTTCTGTTGGTTTCTGTTGGTTGGTTGGTTCTGTTGGTTCTGTTGGTTCTGTTGGTTCTGTTGGTCTGGTTGGTTCTGTTGGTTCTGTTGGTTCTGTTGGTTCTGTTGGTTCTGTTGGTTCTGTTGGTCAGTGGTTCTGTTGGTTCTGTTGGTTCTGTTGGTTCTGTTGGTTCTGTTGGTTCTGTTGGTTCTGTTGGTTCTGTTGTTGGTCTGTTGGTTCTGTTGGTTCTGTTGGTCAGTGGTTCTGTTGGTCAGTGGTTCTGTTGGTTCTGTTGGTTCTGTTGGTTCTGTTGGTTCTGTTGGTTCTGTTGGTTCTGTTGGTTCTGTTGGTCAGTGGTTCTGTTCTGTTGGTTCTGTTGGTTCTGTTGGTCAGTGGTTCAGAGCAGGTCCTGATCCAGGTGTCAGGTCTGTGGTTGTGGTTCTGGTTCTGGTTCAGGTCTGGTCCAGTCCGTGTTTGGCTTCGTTCAGTCGGATCAACATCTGCTGCTTCTGCCTCCCCCACAACTTTGAGTTTTCTTCAAGCTGCGACGTAAACAAAACACAAACACAAACCAAATCTTAAAGCTGCACTGTGTAACTTTTCTGGTGAAGGGTCCGTCAAACTCTTTACAGTTCAGTCACAGGTCAGATCTGTGGAGAGGCGACCCCGCTCCCAGCCAGAATGTCTGTTTTTTAGGTATTTTTGAGCTTTAAAACCACCTGTAACTGAATAAATGTAAAGAAGAACATTTTGTAAAGCGAGAAAAGTATTTGACGGACGCTCCACCAGAAAAGTTACACGTTGCAGCTTTAAGAAACAGTTTTTTTTTAAAGTCCAGATAAATGTAGAATTGTCCAGTTTTGACCTGTTTCTCCAGGATGAGGCGCCGTGTCTCGGTTCTCTCCAGTTCCGTCCGTAAGTCCAGTGTGTCTCTGAGTGAAGACGCCTCTGGTCTCCGGTTTACAACAGGAACTCCGGACTGAGCAGAGGAACAGGGATCAGAGTGACGGAAATGAGTAAAATTTACACACTGAAAAACGGATTGATCAAAATCTACGATATAAATATTTAAATCTATCAGAAAATTGACTTAAAAGTAGTGAAATTATCTGTCCGTGCAAGAAAATCATTTTACTTGACGAGTTCTCTTAAAATAAACAACCTCTGGACGAGTGTTGGAGTATTTGAGACCGGTCTTGGTCTTCAGACTGGCCTTGAGACAGTTTTTTAGGGTCTTGGGCTCATCTTGGACTCGAGCGCATTTGGATTAGGTCTTGTCTCGGTTTTGTTGGCGGTTGGACTCGGTCTTGTCTCGGTCCTGAAGATGCTTGGACTTGGTCTTGTCTTGGTCTTTTCTCAGTTTGTTGGTGTTTGGACTTGGTCTTGTCTCGGTCTTGCAGCTGTTTGGACTCAGTCTTGTCTCAGTCTTGATGGAGCTCGGACTCTGTCTTGTCTTGGACTCAAGGTCTGACCCTCGTCGAGTGTGATCATATTTCATTATGGCCACTGCTGTTGGCAATAAACTTGTACCGGTGTGCGGGAGCACGTGGGGTTCCTCACTGAGGCCTGTGCTCGTCTGGACAAAAAAAAAAAATAAAAAAATACCCACTTTCCTGACTTTAAAGTTGTTTTCTATAAAGTGCCAGTGCAAGTTTTAGTCTTAAAGAAGGAGTTCACAAACTTTGCTTGAAGGTCCAAAAAGGAGCGCAGAGTGTTAAAGTTCAGTAGTTTGCTTGGCTCATTTTAAGATTAAATTGACATTTATTCGATCAAATGATGATGGATTTATAAAAACATTAATATATTTGTGCCAAAATATCTGTAAAATGTAAATACATGTAGAAAATGACAAAGATGGTCTTGATTTGGTCTTGATTTGGTCTTGAGGGGCTGTGGTCTCGGTCTTGACCCTCAGAGGTTTCGGTCTTGTCCTGGTCTCGGGACCCTGTGGTCTTGGACTGGTCTTGGTCTT